CAGCAGGAAGCATACTTAAACACTCACAGATGTTCATATTTACCTTCTTGTCAATGCTTTTAAGGTTCCATCCTCCCTAGCTAAGTGTTCTCTAGCACAAGCTAACTACTGCTAGGATTTGCTCTTTCTGCAGTGCTGATGCCAGCTGCCATGGTCTCATCCGATGATGTGAGCTCAAGACCACCAAAAAAACCTTTTTTTTTTTTTTACAGGATAAAGGGCTGCGGTAAAGAACTATAACTTCTCTTCATCTTCTGCTTTTACATCATTGACTACATCATCCTTTTTACTTCACCACTTTTTACATCATCTTCTCAGCAAGGTATTAATTTGCCCAATTAGACGTGTCTAAAGATTTCTGACACATATTCAGCATAAGATACATCTATATAATCACTGCATCTCTTACCCCAGAATAAATACAGTAAAGTTTACATTCCAATTTAAAAACTTCTCTCACCTACATTAAGAAATGAAAATAAGTTTTCACGATCACCAGGTATAGGGTCTGTATTTACAAGAAAACCAAATGCTACATCAATAGATAAAGAAGATATTCTTGCATATATCCCTGAAAGATCCCTACAGCTTCATTTTGTGCAGTGTACAAATTACAGGCGTAGATAACCCCACTAAAAAGATCTTTTCCTTTAACTTCCCTGGCAGGATTCTCAACTTAATTAAAGTTCAGTTTAGCCTTTGAACTTGGCCACTGCCTTGTGAGCAACAGCGATCTGCAAGATAGCTGTACTCTGAATTAATGACTTCCAAGCTCTGAACTTAGTTGTAATAAATCCTTTTGAGGGAAAGAATTAAAATACAGTTGTTGAAGGCCATATTAGACACAGTCCCTCTATATATTTGTCAAAATCCAGTAAATTTTGCCTCCTTTGCTTTTTGTTACACAGATTCAAAATCATTCAATTGCCATTACATTTGTTCTCTTAGGCAGGTGAGTTTTACTACACATGGTCCTTGTACAGATGGCATAGGTCCATGCTAATGATAAAATGATCCGTATCTTTCCTCCTATTAACTATTTTAGCAGACAGTTAAGAGTTGTTTAGTCTCTCAGACTTCATGTAGGTTCC